AACACACACACACACACACACACACACAAACACACACACACACCAGACATGAATTCTCAGAAAATAAAGAAGCTAAATCCATACATAAAAAGAAACACATTTTCCTAACTTTAACATACCCTGCACAGCTGCCCTGAACACAGCTGCAGTGAGCATACTGTAACAGCATACTGTATAGGGTGATGCCATTTCTCACTATATTCTCAACTATGCTTACATGATCCAGTGCTGGGTCACTGGTTCACAAGAAGCAGAGCCCAAGAAAGAGCCCTTAGTCTAAAAAGCTATTCCTGTTAGCAATACAAGGCCACAGAGAAGCCTTAAGAACAGCATTTACCTTATCAGCCAAACAAATAGTACATGCATGAGTGTGTTGCTTTTCTATTCTGTGTGCTGAGGAGCAGCAAGATGAGGGTCTCTTGTCCTCCTGTCCCAGCAGCTCCATAAAGAGAAGTGGAGTAGGGCTGGCATGGGCCTCAGTCAGTATAACCCTTGCCTACTAAGCAAGCACAAAGCCCTGGGTTTGACCCTAGCACTGCTTCATCCATGGATGGAGTCACGGAGATAAGGGCAAGAGAATCAGATGTTCAGAAGCCATGCTCTGCTACATTTCTAAGTCCTCTTACCACTCACCTTAAGTTACCTCCACCTAAGGAAGCTTTGTCAGTGAAGACTTCTATCCAAGGAACATCTGTCATGCACAGTTGGGCAATAGCTTAGATCCTAACAGTATGTTAATGTACAACCAGGGGGTAAATAATTGTAGGAGTGCAGGCTGTGCAGCCCACTGGAACAATCTATGGTACTTTGCTGACCTTCCTTCTTCTGAAAATGTCTTGCTCACATCTGCTCTCACAGTCTGTCTGCAGCCTGACAAAATGGCTCCCAGGAGACCACTCACATCTGATTGCTGTTCTGTGTTTCACAGGTGCCTATAACAGACTCCTGCCCTACATTGTCATGGGCAGTCTGACTGTCCTGATTGGAATCATCACGCTTTTTTTCCCTGAAAGTTTTGGAGTGGCTCTACCAGAGAACTTGGAGCAGATGCAGAAAGTGAGAGGGTAAGTAGCAAAGGGATTGGAAGAATAAACATAGGAGAATATCTAATATGGTCTGAAAAAGAGGAGCATGGAGTGGAGATCATCGGAGGGGCACTGAAGAATACATGGCAATGGTGTAGGAATAGAGACCAGTGGAGCAGGACAGAGTTCAGGATGAAACCTAAGAAAATAAGAAAATTCAGAATATGATTGAAAACAAACAAACAAACAGTGTATCAACTTAAAATCCTTTAGGAAGAGCAAGGCATACACACCTGTACTCCAAGCTTCAAGAGAGGGTAAGGTAGGAAGGAGGGTCACATGAGTACAGGAGTTCAAGACCAGCCTGGATCAAACAA